ATAAAATCTTCTCATATCTGCTTTGGTTAGTAAAACTAGCCTTTCTTTTTCTTCCCCTAAAATAATATATTAAGAAACTAAGTTGAGTGACTACAAATATATTGGTAATTGTTTATACTGAATGTTCATAATTCCAAGAATTTTAAAAAGATAGCATAAATAATCACAGGGTAACATATATATCCTGGTTTCTAAGACACCCATACTTTAATAATGATTTCAAAGAAAAAAGAAACACTGTATTAAATATATATACAAATTTTGTTTTGTAACAAGATATACATCCATACAATTTCATTTTCATATTATTTCCTTCTTTATTAGTCCAATCAAATTTGCGACTAAGCCTTTATCAGACTATGGTTCTTCTGAATAGCTTTTGGCCATAGGGTTATAAGTAACTTGTTAGTAACATATGGCTCTCTCTGTACCAATGTTTCAAAATTTGACACTCTTGAGCATTGGACAGAGAGAAGAATTAGTTCAAAAACAATAGATCCACTGAATTTCTTACTTGGTTAAATCCATAATTTCTCATTTATTTCCTTAAGTAAGCTACATGTGCCTGGAAAGGAACTTCTTTTGCAAGTCAGCTCAAGCTGCAGCTGGGTTTTTGTCTTTCAGGATGCATGACCAAATCACACCCACCTCTTCCAGCTCTGGGAATTCTATGATCAATACCAACACAGTTGGTATTTTATCTTAAATTAGCTGCAGTGCCTGCCATCACACTGGCAAACCATCTGCATGAACCTCAATGCGGAAACCAAGCTGGGCTCTGACCATTTGTGGGTGGACATCTTCCTTTTTGGGGGGCCCACACAGCACCTGATCATTGTTTTATAAGGGAAAAAAAAGAATGGTTTTCTGCCAGTACAAAATGTTGGCCTCACTTATTATAAATCTGCTTCCACACTCATCCCCAATCATAATAATTTCAATGCTGCATCAAACTGTAATTTTTCTGAGACATAAAAATTAGGAACTCAAATTTAAGCTAAAATTTCACTAGTAGTTTATAGTACTATAGCACAAATAACTTAACTAAGGAAACAAGGAGATGATGAGATGCCCTCTATTGGTGAGGGGCACAAAGGACAGGCAATAATAACCACATCACCACTTACTCTTCTTTGGAGGGGCAGGCAAGGTGCTTATAATATTGACTATCAGAGCACCCCACTTCTAGGACTGTTGAAATGGTAACAAGTATACGTCTTAGAATGGAGGGAATAGAGAATAAAGGATTAAAGACTGAGTAGAAAAAAATAACTGCAGATGTAGAGGAATTCAAAGAACAGAAAATGACGATAGAAAAGTTGTTTTGTTTTTAAATTATGCCACACAAGGCTGATGAAGATGTCTGGAATACTCACTCACTGCTTGATGACTTTAGAAAGCAATTTGGTTATTTACACACATACACATACATATATATTCTAAGCCATATTGTTAATGCCCAATAAAATAAGAATGGCTAGCTCTGGCTGGAGTGGCTTGGCTGGCGCATAGTCCCATGCACCAAAAGGTCACTGGGTTCGATTCCACGTCAGGGCATATACCCAGGTTGCAGGTTCGATCCCAGGTCACAGCACCCCAATCAGGGCGTGTACAGGAGGCAACTGATGGGTGTTTCTCTCTCACATCAATGTTTCCCCCTCTCTCGTTTCCTCTCCTTTACTCTCTCTCTCTAAAATAAACAGAAAATGCTCACTGGAAGCACCTACTGATAGACTAGATATTCCAAGTATAATTCATTCTCAGTCATTAGAGGAAGCCCATGAGATTTCAAACTGCAGCAAATTGTAAACCTAATTCATATGGCCTTTCATCATTTATTTTAACAGTTATGACTGAATTCTTTATAAAGGCTAAGTACTGTTAACTATCCTAAGAAGGAATATCTTCTATCATATTCACAGAAGTGCTCAATTTTAATTCTGTAAATCTTAATTCAATAAACTCCTATCTAATCTTGGAGTAATTATGTCAGATTTGCTTGTCTCATACTAGCCAGCACACTCTAAACATCTGTAATCTAGACCACCTCATTTGGGCATTCATGAATGACTGAAGAGGTCCAACCCTGAAAGCATTTATTAAAATCACCTCCTGAGTAAAACAGGTGAAAGTTTGGAAGCAAAAACAAGAACATACTTGCTAAGCACTTTCCATTCTACTTTATATTCAAGTAACATGCTAATTATAAAAAACTTATTATTAAAAACCAATACTGTTTAATTTGAAAGTACTGAAAATGGTTTCTTTTCATCATATCCTATAATTTCTGATGACTTTTAATTCACTTGGATAGAACAGTCTCTTTTATATGCTTCACAACAAGAACTCTTCATCTTTCTGGTCTCAGGACCCCTTTCCCACTCTTAAATTTTACTGAGGATCTCAAAGAGCTTGTTTCTATAGGTTACATCTATCTATATTTTCTGTATTGGAAATTTAAACTGAATTTTTAAAAAATATTATCTAATTAAAAAAATAAGCTCATTACATGTTAACATATATATTTTTTAAAAAAACTAGGCATACCTATAGTTAAAACAAAGTTAGTGAGAAGGTAATGTTGTTTTATATTTTGCAAATCCATTTAACGTGTAAATTAATGGGAAATACCTAGATTCTCATACTTGCTTCTACATTCATTTGTTAGGACATGCTGCCTTGGCTGAGGGACATGAAGAAACTCCATCCTTCCATAAATATGTAACTGGAAAAGGAAAGACTATCTGAATAAGCTCATCAGATAACTGTGGTCATTTTTCTTTACAACTAAACTGGACAGGTGATAGTTTCTTAAAGGCTAGCGGCAGTGCAGAATCTGAAACCGTGTCAATAAACTTACACACTCTGCTACATTAAAACCCTCTGGTTTGTCTTGCACAATATCAAAAAATTGCATTAGTTAATCTGACTGTAGACCTCATCAAAAAGTCTTTTAAGGGCTAGGAAGCTGTCAAGTTCACTGAGGTAGATACAAGTTTTCCAAATTCTTATTTTTACTTGGAAGCTCAAATTTCATCTTTTGTAGCACTTATTGTCAGCTGTTTTCCTTGATGTGGCAGGCAGGCTCCCGGCATTCGTTTTCAATGTGTACTCTAGGTTCCAGATGGGTAAGCTTCATAAAGAACATTCTTGGTGTGACTAGCTTTTTTTTTTAACCGTGTGTGCATACCCCCTTGCTTCCGAGCCATCAGAGTGTGCATATCATCAGAGTGCAAAAGGCAAATAATGTCTCCTGGTCATAATGAAAATAGTTTTGACCTTGTCAATTCATTACAAGAATACTGAAGAACCCCCTGTGGGGTCCCACAGGCCACTCTTAGAAAACTTCTGTGTTATCATATAAGTGACCCTCCAACCATCACTAAGTGGCAGCCACCAATTAAAAAGGAGAAACAACCTTTTTTGTCCATGTTATCCACATATATTACCTGTCCTTAGTACATTAATATCAGTAGAAGGCTATTTCTATAATTCAAATTTAATACAAAAGCATGAAAAACGAGAGCTAGTTACCATGCAAGGATAACAGAAGCTAAACAAACTAAATGTAATAGTAAACTTCCCTCCAAGGAATTTAAAACATAAATTTTTCCTTAATTCATCCACTTGTCTCCCCATTTGTTGGGCTTTTTGTGTGTGTGTTGGGCACTTGTACTGGAGACATGGAGAGTCGTTCTCAGGTGGACTCTGTGGCTAGGATCCATAGGGCGTGAAGCAGTCAGGGAACAGAGCAGAGGCACTAATGTCAAACTTATCCAATTTCAAGGCCAAGTCCCCACCCTGCACATAGCCTGTCCTTCATAATCTCTGAGTCTTTGTCTTCTTAGTTGAATACAAAGCAAATTCCGCTAAACACCGTGAGGACTGGATGTAGAGCATTAGCGCGGGCCCCCAGCCCACAGCGGGTATTCAATAAGTGGTCGCCACTGTTGTGAATAAGGTCCCCCAGAGGCAGCCGGGGGTCCAGCGAGGAGTGGGACACACATCCACATAATTATGACACAGCATGGGAACTGATTACCCACAACATGCGGTGGGAGTAAAAGGAAAATCAATGGTCTGCCTAAGTGAGGAAGGTGCGATAGTAAACGAGCCACCATCCCAAAGGGAAAGGGAGCTGGCCCCATGGAGGAGGAGGAGAAGAGAAATGTACAACAGATGCACACGGAGGCTGGGCACAGGACAGAGCAAGGGAAACGCTCTGGAACCAGCTCACGTAGGGCCGCTGATGCCATGCTAAGGAGCGCACACCTTTGAAGCTGTTCTCTTTTTCTCTTTCTAAAGACTGAGGACTTATAAACACTCAGCACTAGCAGGTTATCTGGTCTCCTATGCCCCCTGACCCCCAATACACACACATTATACTCATGCTGCTTTCGGGTCTCTGACCCATCAGCAGTGCCCTGGCCCCCGCTTGACGTGGAAGAGGAAGAGCAAAATACCTCCCAGAGGCTGTGGGACATCAGGGGGCCCCAGCAGCTGGTGGAATCTGCACTTAATGTTTTAAAGCACAAATGAGGCACATCCTGGGCAAAGCCATTTTGTATTCTCTCAGGCACTTCTAAGATCCTGAAGCCCGCCAACTGTATCTTCATCCCAGCCCCAACTATGCCCCAGGTCCTATGCGACAGTAGAATTTACAGGTTGCTTTGCTTAATGGAGTGAGAAGAAAGAGAAAGAGGGTCTAGTGGCCCATGTTTTCCATCCTGATTCCACCCATCAGGGAAGCCTCTTGTCATTGCATGAGTGAGCCCCGAAGCCCAAAGAGGCCGCCCGCCTCTTGCTGTTTGGCAGAAGCAGCAGGGCACAAGTCCAGCGTGAGGGCGGCACACAGGTGCGAGCCATGACCCACGGCAATCCTGCAGGTGCAGGTGAACATGCAGTCAGGTGCATCCACGGCCAGCTGTGCTGCTCCACACTCACATGGGACTTGACCATTCAGACAAAAGCCACTGAAATCACTGCAAGGTCTTACTCACCCAGAATTTGACGAGGAAGAAGGCATTTTGAGGGCCCTTGCCAAACAGTTCCTTTAAGCCACCTTTCTTTTCAGGAAATTTGTCATAAATCTGACGAATGTCCACTGATTCGAGCAATGGGTCGCTGTAAGAATGGTTGGCATGCCCAATGTGCACGAAGAGGTGTTTGTTGTACTGCAAGAAACCAACAGAGACATTACCATTACAAACCCTTTGAACAACCCGGGACACATGCATCGTGAACTGGATAGAGAGTAAGTGGTCTTAAAGTCCCGGAATTACGCCTTGATTAGCTGAGAGTCCATACCTTTGAAAAGATGAAGATGTTAGAAAAGTCATTATAACTTAGGGCAAAAACAATCATCATTTTTTTTTAACTAAAGTTGACATACAATAATATATTAGTTCCAGGTATACAATATAGTAAAACAGTCATTGTCTTTTATTAAGAAGGGTATGTATTTTCCCAATGCCTAAGAAAGGCTTTTTGTAGACATAGAAGTAAACAAAGCTTAAATTACCCAACTACCAAACCAAAAAACAATTCTATTACCCAGTTTCACGAGACTCAGCTGAAAATGACAGTGACGCCTTTTGGAGCCTATTATTTATGGTGTAAGCCCAATAAAAAGTATGTGTGTAGTTACCTAACATCATCACCCAGAATGCACTTCTCACTCCAGCTCCCCTAGCAGCAGCATGGGTGCAGCCTTCTGAGCTCTGGTACCTACCTACCTCTTCCAGCAGGAATGAGAGGGCTGAGCCTCTTCTCATCAGTCCCCTTAGTAACCAATCTCAAACTTCTGCATAAGGGCCAGTCAGTATGTGGCTATCAGTGCAATGTTAGGGTCAGGGGAGAGGATTCATGGCATAAGGTTAGCAAGAGGTTGGTAACAAAGGAATACCAGTCATTCATAGTCACACACAAAAAAAGAAACAAAAACACCAAACACCTAAGAAGACATTTAACTTACAAAGGAAACCCTTTCTTTGCTTTGCTTTGGTATAAGATATGGAAATTGGACCACAGAGGAGAATGTCCAAACCAATGGTTCTCACCCAGGTTGCAGCAGAATTACCAAGGAGCATTTAAAAATCACCAATGCCTGGGCTCCACCCAGACTAATTTGGAATCCCTGAGAATGAGGCCAGACATCAGTGATTTTTAATGCTCGGTAGGCAAATTCCAACATGCACCCAAGTTTAAGAACCTCTGGCCTAGATGCTCTACTTCAGACCCTCCCTGACCATCCTTCCTGCGGTATAGGCCGTAAGACCCACCTAATGGGACACAAAGACATCTGGGGGGTGCATGGGTTCCAGGGAGCTCAGAACTTAATAGGGTTCAAAGAGAAACCTTGTGTCTCTCTTCACCTAGCAGTCTCTACTCACTTTTTGAGTTTAAACTAGCATTTCTCCAAGTAGAGGCTTTCTGAGTACTGATCCCATAGAAGCCCCAAATAAAAGGATTGGTTAGGACAGCCCACCAAGAGTACTGCAAATCAGCTATGACACCGGGCAGTGCTTCCCCAGTGTCTAACATGGGAAGAGTGATGGCATCTACTCCATAGGGTGGCTGTAGGATTTAAATGAGACACTGCTTATACAATGCACACTAGAACTCCTAGATCCAATAGACATTCAATAATGCTGGCTATTACGATGTTTTAATAGAACCTCCTTCTTTGAGATTCACAGCGAATATTAGCATATTAAAAGCACCGCAGTAAAGGGACATTTTTTTTAACTTTGTATAACCCAAAGTTTCCCAAACTCATTTGATCACAACCCTGTAAAAATATCCTGTGAAAGTGCTGGTTCAAATCTGTGACCTGCTGCCCACGCCGTGGATCTCTGGCCACAAAGCCAAAGGGTGAGAGGCCCAACCCCCCACAGTGGTCCACAGTTTGCACATATGGGGAGTGTGGCCAGGGCCAGGCATCTTCTGGGAGAAGGCTAAGCAGCCCTCACAATCAACATCAGAGAGCTATCTTAACCAAGGCTTCAACATCCCTCAAAGGCATCCGCTAAAATGAAAAACCAGGTGGAACCTATCAAGCTCTGACGTGGTCCCCGCCTCTGCTCCTTCCAGTTACCTGGAGACTCTCTAGTGGGACTGAGACCTGGAAGCTACTGGGAAAGAACAGAGTGTGCCTGTGCGGGAAGAGAAAGGAAAAAATGTTTACATAAAGTCAAAGCCGTGGCTGTGTTAGGGAGGTGAGGCATGGGGTGGGGCCAAGTGCCTCTGATCTTTCTGTAGGTTTTCTCTAACGCTCTTGGTCACATCATCTTTCAGTTACAAGCAAATACTACTAAAAGCCCACAGAAACGTATAAAGCACAACTGCTAAGGAGCTTCCAGTCTCATCAGTGGGTAAAAGGAGATGTGCAATGTGGTCTCAGGTACTGTACTCCTTGCCTCACAATGACATTGTTAGATGGATTTTATTAAGGTCACTTTACAGATAAGGAAATAGAAGCTTAGAGATGAACGGACCTGTCTGAGGTCACACATCCGGGATTAGTCCTGGAGTTAAGAATAAAACTTGGATCTGTCAACGCATGCATCTTGGTGCAAATACCAACCACGTGGTCTCCCAGAAGAAAATGCCCAGACCCTTCTAACGCAGATCTACTTTTGGTTTGAAAGTTGATTTGTGAAAAAAATGAAAGAAGCTAAATAGTGTTTTCAAAATTCTAAGATGTTAAATTAGAATTTGGGAGAAACATAATGATTCACAGATGCATCAGATAGAGTCTTGAAAGGTTTCTATTTTGAGGAAATTACCTTTGTGCCCAAGTGGCTGAAAGGAACTGAGAAGGGGCAGGCTGTCTTTGCCAAAGGAAATCGGGCACTGACTCTCCAAGGCTGGTGACTTGAAACCAAACCCTGACTGTTGGCATCTGAGTGGCTTTGTTCCTGCCAAGAGGTGACTTTGTTGCTAAGAATACCAAGGACTAAAGAAGGTGTCCTGGAGACCACAGCAGTGAGACAAACAGACCTCACTCTCTCCCTAACTCAACCTGGGCAGGTCAGGAGTCCCTGTGCCCCCAAATCCAGAGGCTGAAAAGAAAAGAAAATCTATCTGATAGGTGTGGGTTCAAGTTTTAATGAAATTAGAACTCTACAAACCATTTGATGAGGCTCTACCTACTACTTCCCATCCTGCCAGTTCTCCTTAGAAGGGAAGAAGGCCAGGGTAGACACATCCTTCACTCTCTCTCCCCTGCCCTCCCAAATAAATCCCATTTTCTTTCTAGTAGGGCTGGTTACCCAAAACTAAAGGTGGGACAAAACCAAAAAAAGAGTAATTCTATTCTGTAAGGCAAAAAACAAATATCTGAAAACAACAACAAACCAAAGCCCCAAGTATTGGGGGTAATATATACCCTAAGCACTGTGCTAGGCACAGGGAATCCGTGAGTCAATACTTCAAAGTCCCTCTCTTCACAGACCCTACAGAGTGACTAGACCAGGGGTGGGCAAACTTTTTGACTCGAGGGCCACAATGGGTTCTTAAACTGGGCCAGAGGGCCGTAGTTTGCCCATGGCTGGACTAGACAGAGCTAGCTTACTGCCTCTATAGTCAATCATGTGTTGCTCATGTAAACAGGGGTTCTCAAAGATTCCTAGAGAAAAGGCTGAGGTTAAAGACAGTCAACATCTCTTGCACGTCACATGACCTAAGTCAGCATTTACCTGCTTTTTAAAAATATGGATGACTTTATTCTCATTAGCAAAGAGAACCTGTGTGGAATTCTCCTTGGAAATATGAGTTAAGTTTCACATCTCTAAGGCAAAAGCCTGATGAAAACCAAGTCATCCATCACCTGTGAGAGTATAACACACTCTCAGATCTGTAAGGTTTCAGGAAATTAATCTTTGTAACCATTCTTAGTTAGCTATAGGAGGATACGTTCCTATGAAATGGAGTAAATCAAAATAGAGGGAGATGGGGCCCTGACCCAGGAGAGAGGAAGAGGAACTCGCTGGCCAACAGCTGGGCCGCTGACCTGGACAGAGACCGGTCCAGTGGATGAGGAGCTGGAGGGGCCCTGGAGGGATGTCACCAAGGGATGCGGACCTGAGAGATTCCCTGGCTTATGTGACCATCTGGAGAAGAGTGTGAGAATTCTGTTAGAAATTGTGAGGATGAATTCATGCAATGTAAAAACTGAACAAATAAAAAAAAAGAAGAAATGACAAACCCTAAAATAACAAGCTTTACAATCAAGAAATGGTTCTAACACATCACACATTAACCACACCGTGCACAAAACTGACACAGCTTTGTAATATAAGCACTGAACATTAAACCAAAACTTGTGATATAACCGCATTGGGAGGGATAGAAGGGGGGGCGGGGGTGTCATATGCTAAATTTAGAGAGCTAAGTCCTGATCTTCCACAGTAAAAAGTCAACAGAAAATGTCTAAAATTGATGGGCTGAGATATATAGGATAAGCATGTTATTTAGAAATATGGAGATGATATCTGAAGAACTGGCCAAAGGGCTGTAAGCAGCTGTCCCTGAGGAATAGGGCTGTGAGGTGGGAAGACCTGGGGCAGGGGGCTGCTGCTTTTCCTCAGGCCACGAGTGAGGCTCCATTTGGCTTATATATAAAGCATATGTACTATATTAAATTAAATAAAAACTACCTTGAAACAACCTAGAGTTTTTTGAGGAAGGGAAAGGACTATAAAGGGAAACAAAAACATTAAGAGTCGTGCTTCAGGTTGTTTATTCTAGCTGACCACAAATTCCCTGGACCCGAAAAGGAACTTAGTCAGATCACAGAGCCTTCCTAAGGCTCAACCTCTCAGGACGACTGGCCAGAAGATGGATCCCTGTCTGCCTGCAAGGTTCCCCCAAAAGAACGATGTTGCACCAGCAAAATCCTACCTGGATCAATCGGACAGGTGCTTAGCAGCACCTGACACAACCTTCACACACGGATTTCTCTTTCAACTTGGGGAAATGCTCATTTCCTCTCTTTACTGCTGTAATCCCTCCAGTTCTTTTTCACAGCAGTTTTATGTAGTGAAAAGGTGAATGTAATCCTAGAAACTCAACAAAGTTACTTGCAAAGGGTTATTTAGCTGCCCTGGGGGTTTCACAAATGGCTTTCCTCCGCCCTCACAGCTGTTCTGAGAGGTCACTTTCTCTCCTGGTT